CACTATGCTACCAGAGCTCCCTGTATAGCCATTAGCACTATCTATATCTAAAATTTTTTATCACTTCAAATAGAATCTCTGTGCTCATTAAGCGATCCTCCTCACTTGCCACTCCCCCATCACCACCTGCCAGTCCTGATCACTTCTAATCTACTTTCTGTCTCTATGAATTTACCTATTCTAGATACTTCAGATAAATGGGATAATACAATATTGGACCTTTAGTATCTAACTTGTTTCATTCAGCATAATGTTTTCAAGGCTCATCCATATTGTAGCATGTATCAGAATTTCATTTTTCTTTTGGGTGTCTATATATACCACATTTTGTTTATCCTTTCATTTGTTAATGAGCACTTGAGTTGTTTCCATCTTCTGTCTATATGAATGATGTTATTGTAAACATTGGTGTACACATACATATCTGTTTGAGACACCATTTTCAATTCTTTTGGGTATATATCTAGGTCATATGTAATTCTGTGTTTAACTTTTTGAGGAACTGCCAGTTGTCCACAGCATTGGACATTGTATTAGATACATGACATGCAAATATGCAAATATTTTCTGTCAGTTATCATTTCACCATTGATTGTGTGCTTTAACGCACAAGCGTTTTTAATGTTAATCTATTTAATCAGTTTATCTATTTTTTTTTAAATCTATTTTTTTGTTATTTGTTTTTTTTGGTGTCATATCTAAGACAGCATTGCCAAATCCAGGGTCATGAAGATTTACTCCTGTGTTTTCTAGTAAGAGTTTTAGCTCTTAAATTTGGGTCTTTGATCCATTTTAAGTCTGTTTATGATGTTGGTACAAGATAAGGGTTAACGGTTCAACTGTTACTCTTTCACATGTGGATATCTAGTTTCCTTAGTACCATTTGTTGAAGAAAGAGTTCTATCTCCATTGAATGGCCTTGGGACCTTTGTTGAAAATCAGTTCATCATGGCTATATTGGTTTATTTCTGGACTCTAAATTCTCATAGGTCTGTATGTCTGTCTTTATTCCAGTACCACACACTGCTTTGATTACTGTAGCTTTGTAATAAGTTTTGAAATTGGGACATGTGAGTCTTCCGACTTTGATCATCTTTTTAAAATTGTTTTGGTTATTCTATGTCCTTTGTAATTACATATAAATTTTTGAATGGGTTTTCCTATTTCTGCAGAATATACCATTTGGCTTTTGATAGAGAAGCACTGAATCTGTATTTTGCTTTAAGTAGCATTGTCATCTTAATTATATTGCCTTTCAATCCATGAACATGGCATTTCTTACCTGTATTTAGTCCTTTTTTATTTTTTTCGGCAATGTTTTGTAGTTTTCAGTATATATGCCTTATGCTTTCATGGTTAAATTCATTCCTAAATATCTTACTATTTTTGATGTTATTGTAAATGGAATTGTTTTCTTTCCTTTTCAGGTTATTCATTGTAAGTGTATAAAAATGTAACTGATATTTGTTTTTATTTTGTGTCCTGCAGCTTTACTGAATTTGTTTATTAGCTCTTAACAGTTTTTGATAAGTTCTTTTGGAATTTCTAGATGTAAGATCATGTCATCTGTGACTGTTGTTGTTAATTGCTTTTGAGTTGATTTTGACTCATGGAAACCCTGTGCATACCAGTTAGAACTGTACTTCCTAGTGTTTTTCAGATGTGACTTTTTGGAAGCAGAACATGAGGACTTTCTTTCCAAAGTGACTTTGGGTGCATTTGAACCGCCAACTTTTTGATTAGTGGTCAAGTGCTTAACTGTTGGCACCAACCAGGGACTCCCATCTGTGATTAGAGATAATTTTGTCTTTTCCTTTCCAACTGGATGCCTTTTGTTTCTTTTTCTTGCCTAATTGCTTTGGCTGGAAGTTCCAGTACAGTGTTAAAAAGCAGTGTTGAAAGTGGGCATTCTTGTTTTGTTCCTGACCTTAGCAGTAAAACTTTTAGTCTTTCTTTATTGCATATTATATTAGCTGTGGGATTTTCATAAATGTCCTTTATCATATTGAGGAACTTCCCATCTTTTTCTATTTAATGAGTGTATTTATCATGAAAGGGTGTTAGATTTTGTCAAAATATTTTTTTCTGCAACAATAGAGATGATTATGTGAGGGTTTTTCCTTCATTTTATCAATATAGTTTATTATATTGATTTATTTTTGTATGTTGAAGCACCATTGCATTCCTGGGGTAAATCCCACTTGGTTATGGTGTATAATCCTTTTAACATGCTGCTAAATTCAGTTTGCTAATATTTTGTTAGGAGGAGCTCTGGTAGCATAGTGGCTAAAGCACTTGACTGCTAACCAGAAGGCTGGCGGTTCAAACCCAACAGCCACTCCTCGGAAGGAAGGTTGGGCAATCCTACTTCC